AAAAAAAAAAAAAAAAAAAAAATTAACTTTATACTATGTTCCTTACCTTCTTTAATTTTTTATATTTATGAGAGGTTCTTTTTATAACACGAGTAGAATTACAGTGCAAGTATTTATATAATGCTGAAAAAAATGTAATACAACAGGACAAGGTGACTCAGGCCTATAATCCCAGCACTTTGGGAGGCTGAGGCGGGTGGATCACCTGAGGTCAGAAGTTCAAGACCAGCCTGGCCAACATAGTGAAACCTCGTCTCTACTCAAAATACAAGAATTAGCTGGGCGTAGTCTTGGGCACCTCTAATCCCAGCTACTGGGAGGCAGAGGTTGCAGGGAGCTGAGATAGTGCCATTGCACTCCAGCCTGGGCAACAAGAGCAAAACTCCATCTCAAAAAAAAAAAAATGTAATGCAGAGAAATATTGAGAAATGTGGGGGAGAATGATTTCCTTCTTGCTTATAGCTCCTTTTTCAGATAACTTAGATAATTTTATGAGTCACCTATCTGGTTCCATGCTGTTCTAAAGGCCAATTGATCATTTTTATCCTTCTGTCATTTCCCAACAGTATCCTGACTAAATGCTGGTTAAAATGCAAGTCATTTTTGGAGGTCATCTTTTAGCTATTTTGTTTTTTAAATAGAGACAAGGTTTTCCTTTGTTGTCTAGGGCTCACAGTCCAGCTATTTTCTTATAGTATATTCCCAGATATTTGTAAGCATATGTACAATACTTGGCCCATAAAATCCTTTTCTTTTGTAATTCTACCCCTTGGTCATTTAGTCTTTTCTTCCCATCATTTACCTTCTGTGGATAACCTAACTTCTATAATAATATTACCACTGATAACAGCAGAGGTTTCCTGAAGTATCATTGCTGGGTCTTATATGTGCTTTATCTTTATAAATGAGAGCTCCTAGCCGGGCGCGGTGGCTCAAGCCTGTAATCCCAGCACTTTGGGAGGCCGAGGCGGGTGGATCACGAGGTCAAGAGATCGAGACCATCCTGGTCAACATGGTGAAACCCCGTCTCTACTAAAAATACAAAACATTAGGTGGGCATGGTGGCGCGTGCCTGTAATCCCAGCTACTGAGGAGGTTGAGGCAGGAGAATTGCCTGAACCCAGGAGGCGGAGGTTGCGGTGAGCCGAGATCGCGCCATTGCACTCCAGCCTGGGTAACATGAGTGAAACTCCGTCTCAAAAAAAAAAAAAAAAAAAGAAAAGAAAAGAAATGAGAACTCCTGTGGCTCCAGGTTGTAGAATCTGAGAGGAGAACTGCAGACCTTCTGAAAGTAATCAATGTTTCAGGTGGCATGTGCCTGTAGTCTCAGCTATTAGGGAGGCTGAGGTGGGTGAATCATTTGAGCCTAGGAGTTCTGGGCTGTAGTGCACTATGCCAATCGGTGTCTGCACTAAGTTTGGCATCAATATGGTGACCTCCTGGGAGTGGGGGACCACCAGGTTGCCTAAGGAGGGGTGAACCATCCCAGGTCAGAAAGAGAGGAGGTCAAAACTCCCGTGCTGATCAGTGTGGAATCTCGCCTGTGAATAGCCACTGCACTCCAGCCCGGGCAGCATAGCAAAACCCCGTCTCTTAAAATAATGAAATTAATCAATATTTATTATATTTTTAATTACTTTAAAACATGGCTGCTTTACCTTTTCTTGGTCCTAAGACTTGCTGGTTTTCCACTTCCAAAGATTTTTTTATAACAGGGGCCAGGCACAGAGGCTCAGGCCTGTAATCCCAGCACTTTGGGAAGCTGAGGCAGGCAGATCTCAAGGTCAGGAGTTGACCATCCTGGTCAACATGGTGAAACCCCGTCTCTGCTAAAATACAAAAAATTAGCTGGATGTGGTTGTGTGCACCTGTAGAGCCAGGAGAGTCGCTTGAACCTGGGAGGCGGAGATTGCAGTGAGCCGAGATTGTGCCACTGCACTCCAGGCTGGTAACAGAGTGAGATTCCATCTCAAAAAAATAAGAAGAGGCCAGGTGTGTGGCTCATGCCTGTAACCTCAGCACTTTGGGAGGCTGAGGCGAGTGGATTGCCTGAGGTTAGGAGTTCGAGACCAGCCTGACCAACATGGTGAAACCCCATCTCTACTAAAAATACAAAAAATTAGCTGGGTGTGGTGGCAAGCACCTGTAATCCTGGCTACTCGGGAGGCTGAGGCAGGAGAATTGCTTGAACTCAGGAGGCGGAGGCCGCAGTGAGCGGAGATCGAGCCATTGCTCTCCAGCATGGGCAAAAAGAGCGAGACTTCATCCCAAAATAAGTAAATAAATAAAAGAAGAAGAACTTCGTAATAGGGAGAATGTCCTCAAGGAAAATGTTTCTGTTTCATGTGAGATTTGTGTGGATATGTCAAAGCAAATAACACATACTTGACATCTTGAGAGTAATGATCTACCTCCTTAGTGAGAAGGAAACTAAGTTTTTGAGGGTCACAAAGTTTTATGTTCAGCTACGTTTTGCCTGACTTCCCTCTGCCTAATCTTGGCCTTTGCCAGTTCTGATGCTTTTGTTACCTAGAAATATTTATAAACTATTACTTATTTTTACTTTTTAAAATAAAGGGTCATACAGTGTCTTAAATGTATCTAAATATCTCTTTGAATAGTTGGATATTGCTGTATGTCATTGTATTATAATACCTGCACAATATTACAACATATAGTTGTATTATTTACTTCACACCTAATTAGGTCAATTCTAATATTTTACTATTTCAAACAATAAGTATCCATCCTTTTGGCTAGATTTTTGCACTTATTTATGCTTCTTTCCCAAAGGAAGATTTCTTTAAGGAAAATTATTAGATGAAAAAGTATACGAAACTACATAAATTTTTAATTCATGTGTGCATGATTTGAAATGAACAGAACAAACTCGACCAACACAACATCAGTGTTTTCTTACATAATTCTTTATACTTATCTTTGAAAATACTTTTTAAAAGACAACACCTACCAAAAGTAATTTGTATTTTTCTTCACTTTTGGTGTCCTCTGTTTAGGGAGTAAAACTGAGACCATGCAACCTGAAGTAAAAAGTGAAACCGATCCCCATTTTATCTTAAAAAGTTCAGACAACACTAAAGCCTATTTGCTGATGCCATCTGCTTCTCACCCAGTGAAAGAGGCATCTCCAGGCTTTTCCTGGTCCCCGAAGACTGCATCAGTTGCACCAGCTCCATCGAAGAATGACGCAACAGCCTCGTGCGTGTTTTCAGAAAGAAGCAGCACTCCCCACTGCACGATGCCTTTGGGAAGACTCAGCGGTTCCAATGCAGCTGCTGCAGAAGGCCCTGGCATTTCACAGCTTGGCGAAGTTGCTCCTCTCCCCACCCTGTCTACTCCTGTGACAGAACCCCTTATTAATTCTGAGCCTCCCACTGGTGTGACTGAGCCGCTAACGTCTCATCAGCCAAACGAGCAGCCCTCCTTCCTCACCTCTCCCCAAGACCTTGCCTCTTCTCCAATGGAAGAAGATGAGCAGCATTCTGAAGCAGATGAGCCTCTATCAGACGAGCCCTTATCTGATGACCCCTTGTCACCTGCTGAGGAGAAATTGCCCCACATTGATGAGTACTGGTCAGACAGTGAGCACATCTTTTTGGATGCAAATATTGGTGGGGTGGCCATCGCACCTGCCCACGGCTCGGTTTTGATTGAGTGTGCCCGGCGAGAGCTGCACGCTACCACTCCTGTTGAGCACCCCAACCGTAATCATCCAACCCGCCTCTCCCTTGTCTTTTACCAGCACAAAAACCTAAATAAGCCCCAACATGGTTTTGAACTAAACAAGATTAAGTTTGAGGCTAAAGAAGCTAAGAATAAGAAAATGAAGGCCTCAGAGCAAAAAGACCAGGCAGCTAATGAAGGTCCGGAACTGTCCTCTGAAGCAAACGAATTAAACCAAATTCCTTCTCATAAAGCATTAACATTAACTCATGACAATGTTGTCACCGTGTCCCCTTATGCTCTCACACACGTTGCGGGGCCCTATAACCATTGGGTCTGAAGGCTTTTCTCCCCCTCTTAATGCCTTTGCTCGTGCAGTGTATTTTTTCAAGGTGCTGTTTTAAGAAAGTCATGTTGTCGTTTACTATATCTTCATCTCACCCATTTCAAGTCTGAGGTAAAAAAAATAATAATAATAATAACAAACGGGGTGGGTATTCTTAACTGTGACTATATTTTGACAATTGGTAGAAGGTGCACATTTTAAGCAAAAATAAAAGTTTTATAGTTTTAAATACATAAAGAAATGTTTTGGTTAGGCATTAACCTTGGTAGAATCACTCAGTTTGGTGCTTTCAATTAAGTCAGTTTACTATGAAACAAGAGTCATTTTTAGAGGATTTTAACAGGTTCATGTTCTATGATATAAAATCAAGACACACAGTGTTAACTCTACACAGCTTCTGGTGCTTAACCACATCCACACAGTTAAAAATAAGCTGAATTATTATTTCATGGTGCCATTGTTCCAACATCTTCCAATCATTGCTAGAAAATTGGCATATTCTTTTGAAATAAACTTATGAAATGTTTTCTCTCTTAAAATATTTCTCCTGTGTAAAATAAATCATTGTTGTTAGTAATGGTTGGAGGCTGTTCATAAATTGTAAATAGATATTTTAAAAGCACTTTCTATTTTTAAAAGTAACTTGAAATAATATAGTATAAGAATCCTATTGTCTATTGTTTGTGCATATTTGCATACAAGAGAAATCATTTATCCTTGCTGTGTAGAGTTCCATCTTGTTAATTGCAGTATGTATTCTAATCATGTATATGGTTTGTGTTCTTTTACTGTGTCCTTTCACATTCAAATGTTAGCAAGTCGCAGTATATAAAATACTTAGATAATGAGAAGTTGTTAATTATGGAATTAGGAAGCATATCACCAATATTGATTAACATTTTCTTTGGAACTAGGTAAGAGTGGTCTCTTCTGACTTGTTGAACAACTTCAGTTTAGTTTCATCTTACCTTTCTCATTATAATCCATTAGAGGTATTTCCAAAAGGAGATGATGGGACAGGATAGGTTTCAAGAGTCAAATGCTTCTAATATCTCAAGGTGATAAAATACAAAAATTAAGTAGACAGATATTTGTACTGAAGTCTAATATAGTATTAGGAAAAGAAAATCTTGTTGAAATATTTTGAAAACCAATTCCCTACTATCATCACATGCCTTCCCAACCCCAAGTCAAACAAGAGGAATGGTACTATAAACATGGCTTTGTCCATTAAAAGCTAATTCATTTGTTTATCTTAGCATATTAGATTTGGGAAAATGATAACTCATCTTTTCTGATAATTGCCTATGACCTAGGTAACAGGAAAAAAGGCATTACGTTTATTTTAGTCTTCCCATTTTTTTTCCTATTACTTTGTTGACTCATTTTATTGCAAAACAAAAAGGATTACCCAAACAACATGTTTAGAACAAGGAGAACTTTCAATGAAATACTTGATTCTGTTAAAATGCAGAGGTGCTATAACATTCAAAGTGTCAGATTCCTGGGGAGTATGGAAAACCTAATGGTGCTTCTCCCTTGGAAATGCCATAGGAAGACCACAACCGCTAACACTTACAATTTTGGTGCAAAAGCAAACAGTTCCAGCAGGCTTTCTAAAGAAAAACTCATTGTAACTTATTAAAATAATATATGGTGCAAAGTATCTGATTTGAGCTTTTGACTAATCCAAGTAAAGGAATATGAAGGGATTGTAAATAACAAAAATGTCCATTGATAGACCATCGTGTACAAGTAGATTTCTGCTTGTTGAAATGTAAAATAGGGTAATTCATTGACTTGTTTTAGTATTTTGTGTGCCTTAGATTTCTGTTTTAAAACATGTATATTTTTGTGAGCCTAAGGTTTCTTATACATATAAGTATATAAATAAGTGATTGTTTATTGCTTCAGCTGCTTCAATGAGATATTTACTAGTATTATACTATCAGGAATACACCCTTGCGAGATTATGTTTTAGATTTTAGGCCTTAGCTCCCACTAGAAATTATTTCTTCACCAGATTTAATGGATAAAGCTTTATGGCTCTTTATGCATCCACTCATCTATTCATTCTTCGGGTCTACACTTATTGAATGCCTGAAAAATCTAAGTGTCACTTTTATTTTTATTTGAATCACCGCCTATGACATAGTAAACTTGAAGAATAAAAACTACCCTCAGAAATATTTTAAAAATAAATAGCAGATTATCTTCAAAATAATCCATGGTAACGTATGCAGTAATTCAAATTTATCTGTCTCTCAATAGGTTTCTTAACAATCTAAACTTGAAACAGCAATGTTAATTTTGGGGACTATTGGGATTTGTGATACTTGCTGCAGTTTACCAAAACAAGTATATGAAAATATCTAGTATCAACTGAAATGTTTCCATTCCATTGTTGTAATTAACATCATGAATGGACTTCCTAAACTGATCACCCCACTGTGGGAACCAAATTGGATTCCTATTTTGTTGGACTCTCTTTCCCAATTTTAGCAATTTACCATCTCATTCTCTGCCCTGTGATTTTTTTAAAAAGCTTATTCAATGTTCTGCAGCATTGTGATTGTATGCTGGCTACACTGCTTTTAGAATGCTCTTTCTCATGAAGCAAGGAAATAAATTTGTTTGAAATGACATTTTCTCATAAAACTGGTCATCTAACATTATTTCTACCCCTCTATTATGTTTTGCTGTAATGATCACCTTTAACACTCTAATTGGGTTTTAAATCTGCATTTGTTCATAGTATGATCATTGAATTCACTGATACATGACCTCCTAGTTAGCCCAATCAGTGCATAATATGCTACAAACTCACCAACTTTAATAAGGGAATAACTCCTGTGTATTGCAGAATCCTACAAAATATCATGTTGCCCCTTGATATTCCATTTCCTTTGTCTTTTTTTTTTGGAGTGACAGAGTCTTGCTATGTTGCCCAGGCTGATCTCAAACTCCTGGCCTCAAGTGATCCTCCTGCTTCAGTCTCCTAAAGTACAAAAATTATAAGCATGAGCCACTCTACCCAGCCTAAAATTCCATTTCTAATGGCTCTTGAGCCATTGTTGAAATTTCTTTTTTTTTTTCTTTTGCTTGTCAGTCTCACCTACCTCTTGCTTCCAATTCATCTACAAAGTACCAAATAGACCAGGTCATAAACATAATTGAAATACATTCTTATCAGAAAGTGAGGCTATTTGAAAAGGCATAGATAGCTGTAGGCAAATTATTGCAACATGTTTACATCTTAAATAAATGTCCAACATCTTTGTTATTCAATCTGCATGTTGATAATGTAATTTCATTTATTAAATTTAGAACTTCAACTAGATGAGATCCATAAGTAATTTACTTAAAACATAACCTCAATACGTATTTAATTGAATGCATACCCTTGTGTAAATAAGCTGCTGATTTAATTCATATGACTAACCTATTTTCTAACATTACAGTGGACTCCTACTGATCATTTCACAATAGCATGTGTGAAAATAACCCTGAACTAATTTTTAAAACAAATTATATTGACTTTATCTGGGACATAGGTAAGACTTTATTGCATGAAACTTCCACTGACAGTGGGCACGGCATTTCCTTTGCATGTGCCAACTAAATCAGTGGCTGTATGCAACCTTCAATAAATATATAGTTATTACCTTCAATTTCACACCTTGATGCATGGAAATCTTTTTTATCTAGATTTAATACAACTGTGAGTTTTGATCTTTTATAGAAATTTGAGACAAGAGAATTTCAGAATAAGTTAATATAGTAGTGGCCGCTCATAGCAATGCAAGACACCTGAGAAGTCATATAGCTCAATCACTGGGGTCCAGAGAGCAAATCTTAATGTTAAATTATAATTAGAATGTAAACAGATGAAGGCCACTTTGTGTTGAGAACTGTAGGGAAACTTGATTTTCGTACCCAAAAGATATTTTATCACTGATAAATAAACAAGTATCAAATCCTTATACATTATAGGCTTTCAATTTCCCTGGATCTAGTGTTAAGCATATACAAGAAGTTATAAAGGCATGAATGACTAAAACAGTTAAGGAAAGTATATTTCCACTGTATATACTACCTAGCCATGATTATAGAGTTCATTCATGCCCCTTGCCTAGTTAGCCTCACAGTTAAGTCGCAGCATAGTTTATTTTGATGTAGCTGTCTACATGTATTGGAGTACTATTTTATTGCACATAGCTTCTAAAGCTGCCCATATGTAGTGCTCGCTTCGGCAGCACATATACTAAACTTGCCTATATGTATATTGAACTTACTACTTTCAACACCATTAGTATGGCACACTTAACCAAGTGATTATAATCAATACATGATTGCTGAAGGAGTCTGGATTTATCCAAATCAAACTGTGATCCATGTTGAGCTAACTTTTAACAGCTTTAGAAAATGATGTTATGCATTGCTCTGGAATGCAGTGCAGAAAGTCAGAATCAGTATGTCTTTCATCAGAAGCTAAATTCGTGTGTTTTCTTAGAATATATTGAGCTTGACTGGCAATGTTCTTGCTTTTCCTATACATATAAAATATAAACTGATTTCCTTTATTACTTCCTGAGATGGTAGAGCTGGCTTTTATGCAGGATATCATCACTATTTTGGTCTGCATTGATAGCTATAAATTTTATTTTATTTTATTATTATTTTGCTACAAATTTTAATTCTCTACCTTTCAGTGTATGGAAGACTTTTAAGTTCCTTGTTTCTTCTGGGTTTCCAATCACACACCATTGTTTCAAAAGGCATATATTTTACTCTCTAAAGTAATCCAAAGGTATTCTTAATTTTGCTACTCCTAGTTTTCACTTCTCTTTAAGAGCCTGAAGTATGTTCCTGTTTCTCCTGATAGTATGCAATATTTAATATTTCTAGCTCTAAAATTCCATC